GGGAAGCACCTAGTGGGTGCCTGTCAGTCAGGATGTAAGAAATAACTCAGTGTGGAAAGGTCAGAGAATTACGACTTTTAGAGAACAGTGGAGAGGTACTAAGGTCTTCATGCTCTGGCGCTGCCTTGTAACAGAAGTTGAATGAGTATTTGCTCAAAGAAATTCACTCATTGTCTGTCCCACTTGTGTCAGTAAGTTGTGTTTCTGCCGTCTTCTTGTGAGTGATTTGTACATGGGAATTACATTACCATGAATCTAAGTTATATTTTCAATTAAATGCCATTCTCTGAGCAAGTGAAAAGCTGGGGATAATGTCAGTGGTGCTCTGCTTTGCAGACAAGGCAGTGCCCATGGGGAGTTTCTGTTGAGTTTCAGTACTGGTAACTGCTGGAGATACGTATGTGTGTGTGCATGCATGTGCCTGTATATGTATTTTAACCCTTTTCCTTAAAATCTGAGAAAAGTTAGGGCTCTGCATCCGGTGAAGGGATGCAGTTGCACATTTATCACTCTTCCTTCCTACTCAGGAGGAATGTCAGCCAAAATGTGAATTTTGGGAGCCATAGTGGGAGGGGATGGGGAAATAAACATAGCACGTCAGTTACAAGATCAGTTCTTTTCCTTTTCTATACTCCTACATTTCTTGTTCTGCAAGGTGTCTGGCTTTGATTGGAATATGCCTTTTAGGGCAGTAGGGAGATGCAGTGTGGTGTTTGGGTTTTGTAGAGTGGTGGGTTTTTTTTTTTTTTTCTTTCAAGGTTGAAGGCGAATATGTCATCTTTTAGCATGCTTCTTGCAAGATCATTCCATCTCTTTGCCTCAGAATAGAGAGATTTGGGGTTTTTTCCTATTATGCAGTGATTTGGAAGGTACTTAAACATTTCATAGCAATCCTGAAAATAAGCCTGAAACTGAAAGCAAACCAGCTCCCTAAATGTGCTTGTTCTTCCAGGATGTTCTAGGAGGTTGCCTTGAAGCAGCTTAAAAAATTCCCGGAAGCTTTCTGAAATTTACATGTCTGTCACTTCCTACTCCAATAATAATTCCAACAAATGCCATTTTCCCTCCAGTCTCATTTGTTACACAACTAATGTTATCTTTATGTCTGCTGGATTGTTTCCTGTGATAATCTGTAGGCTTCGGTCTCTTTCATTCTTGTGACATAGGTGAGATGAAAGATAACAGACAACAATGTAAGGAAGAGTATCCACAAAAAGGTGTAATGAACTATTAGGGTCACAAAGGAAAAAGTCTTTGCTGCCAGGGGTGGTGCTAGGTGTCTAAATCAAAAGTAAGACAACTTTTTTGTCTGTTGAAGTCAAACTTGGAATTTCTGCTTGGCCTGTAAGCTGACCAAGTACATTTGGATCCAGCCTAATAAAAGGCTGTATCATGTATTTTGGAGGTAGCATTCTGTAGAAAGTGAAACCACATGCTTAGTTTTGTGTTATTCGTATTGCAGTGACCCCAAAGCATTGGGAGGTCCAATGCGTAAGCTGCTCAGTGGTGCAGGACAGGCTGGCGGAGTGTATGTTCCTGGACAAGCTGCAGCAGCATGAAGTTTGGTGTAGGCCTGTTTACCTCGTCACAGGCAAGCTTTGCTGAGCTCCTTCTTTATTCGGGCCAATTTTGGAAACCCTGAGGTACCCAAGGTAAAGCTCTGTGCTGCAGTCAGATAGGACTCATTCACTTGGTTCGACTTGCTTGGTGCTGTAATGGTGAGACACTGAATCCTTTGAAATTGAGGCCATTGTGGGAACTCCCTCTGTGAGTGAGCACATGAGTGCCTGCATCTGAGCTCTTTGCAATGAAGTGAACTGCTAGTCATATTCTTTTATCCTTCCCTAGCAATTTCTTCTAGAAGTTCTGCTAGAACTTCATAGTCTTTTTGAGAAACCAGAAACTTAAGACGACAGTCCTAAGAATATTTTTGCTCTTATTTTTCCTTTTGTAGCTGAACAATAGACTAATATGGGGATATATTTTAAAAACCTCAAAATAACAGCTGTTTGACAATGCTTACATTTCTGAAATATGGACAGGTTTGTGTTGACTGCAGTGCTGAAGGCACTAACTTGTGCTCATGCATCCTAATCTAGTGTATAGTGCTGTTGCATCTTGAGATTAACATATAAATCATATGCAGTGCTTATTTTGTTAAAAGAAAAAATCAATAAGCAAAATGGCAGCGCTGTTTTTCCCCCATCCCACCCCCTAAACAAGAAATTGTGTTTCAGAGATGTTAAAAGTGAAAATGTTATTAATTTAGCAGAAGCTGACCACATCTAATTAGTTAGAAGCAGCAAAGGAGAAAAGCAATAGAGAGCTAAGCTTGTAACTTAAACTACAGGACAGGGTTTGCGGGACACAATGGTAATGTCTTGTTCTGTGGATTTTTTTCCTGAACCAGAGTTCAAAAGCTAGAATTGATTTCTTGATGGTATAAAGCTGCTTGTTACATTGCCAGCCTAGCAAATACTTAAAGGTCTGTTTAGTGTAAAGATTAAATATCAACTTATTTAAAGGAGGACTTCACTTTGAAGAATAAAGCTCCTGTAAATTTGTTGATTTGCCATTTGCTGAGTGAATTTGGACAAGTAGGAGGATTGCTGTTCATTTAATCTATCTGACAATGGGAACAACAATGAAAGGAATAGAAATGGAAGCAACTTGCACAAACTTCTGAGGCAGAAGAGAACTGGCCATCTTTTATTTTTGTTTCATTTGAGGATGATAAGACAGGCTGAAAATCACAAACGTTTCAGTGTTGGCTTTTACCTCAAAGTGCTGGGGTTTGCCAAAGTAAAATTTTTCTGCACAGTCTAATAACTGCATTCTGACCTAAGGGACCCAGGTACAAAGGAGGAAATTATCTTCCTGGTGCTGTGAAGCTTTAATTAATTTTTATGAAGTTTATTTAGGGATCTTTTTGATGAAGTTTCACAGGTGATATAATCCTCAGCTTTTTTTCTGTGTGTAAAGACTGTTCATTATTTTCAGTCTTCAAACATCAAATTTGGCCCATAATTTTTTTTTTTTAACCAAGAACAGAAATGAGGCCACAGATTACGGAGTCCTTTGACCAGAATTGCTTACAAAAAAAATCCTGTAGTTTTATAGATAACGTTCTCCCATCCCATTAGAGGATAATTAAGAACTTTATATTTCTTGTCTTGGGAAATACATGTTTTTCCAGCTGTGTTTGCTTAAGATATATGAGGAGCCAAAGACAAAGCTTAATCTAAAGTACTTTTAGTATTTTTTTGAAGTCGAGCAAACAACCCTACTTTGTGAGCTTGTTTCAGTTTTCACCTTTTTACTGATTTTGTCTTCTCCTTGTGCTGTTTAAAAAGTTTAACTGGACAAATAACACATTAGTAAAATTTCGAGCAAAAATATTCATAGGATTTGCTTTAAAATAATGCGACTTCTGTAGCATGCAGTGGAGTAGTACTGAGACTGTCTCATGACACAGCTGGACCTGTTATTTACAGGCATACTTTGCAGGTCATGATGTGTTTCAGGTGTGGATTGTGTTCCTGTTTCAGAGAGAAACATGGGAGGAGGATGTGCAAGTATGCATAACTAATATGAAATTAAGCTATTCTGTAGGATTGACCTCCTTTAGTTTGAAGCCAACCTTGTTCTATTCTAAATAGTAATTTCTTCCTTCTTTAGGTGGAAGGAACCGGAACCTTTTCCATTAACTTCATAGGGGTGTCCATGGACAGATAGAGGGTGCTGAGTGGATATTTTAAGGAAGGGGGAGGTGGAGAAAGAAAAAGGAAAAAAAATCAAAGAAACCACCACATATCTGAACAAAAAGGGGTCATCTCTACATTGAGATATCACCTCATTATATCTCTTGTTGGCTTTAAAAAGAGGCACGGTTGCATAATATAGTTGCAGACCCTTTTGCTATAGATACCTGTAGTTAAGTGAGGCACATGCCACCTCTGTGACAAAAGTAATGCTTCAGAAGGAAGTCTGCAATGCATACTGAAGCCCTGCAGATTTAAGACTCTAGTCTGGATCAGGAAAAAGCTCTTCTGAACTGGCACACAGACCAGTGACTGTAGAAATGTCAGAGCTGGGAGAGAAGACAATGCAGAGTGAGGTGAACTGCAATAGGCAGGGTGTGCTCTGTTAACCTTTTGCTCATGCTGACAACCAGAAGCTTAAATTTGCTGTATAAGATCAAGAGAAAAGATCCTTTCCTCATTGAATTTCAGGAATTCAGTGTCTAAGGAAGAGATCCAGCAAGGGGAGTGATATGAACAAAGCGACCCAATAAGTACAGCAGCTCTCTGTTCAGCATCTTACCTGAACTGATGAATGAAGTGTAAAGGTTTTGGAGAAGCCTGAGGGCAGGAGGATGTCCTACTATTCAGGCAGTATACAAGGTAGATTTGAACAACAGAATTTGCTGTTGGGATAAAAGGAGCTGAGGATGTAGGAGAGGAGGAAGTGGAGTGGTTTTAACTATGCCTGAAGAATTCAGGTCAGGGGAAAAAAAGTCAAAAATAGAATGTCAGGAAGAGAGAAGTAGTGGTAAAAAACTAAGAGAGGGAAGTAGGTTATATGCAGCAGTTTCACAGGGACTTGTGTTAGAACTTCCTTTATTTCATTTCCTCCTTTCCAATGGTACACCAGTTGGCCTGGTTGTTGACATGCCTCAGAAAACTTTACTGGGTATATATCTGAAGGGGAACATGCATAAATTATGGTCTAATTAATGTTTGTGAAAAGGAGTGTTCTCCCTTGGTTAGTGGTGAACTGGATCTCTTCAGCTCTTCCACTGACTCACCAAGCCTCAAGGGCTGGCAGGAGGATTACTAATTCTTGTTTTACCCCAGAGCAGGGTAGGGAGGCTCTATTAATACCTGAAGTACATTTTGGAAAATGTCACCTATCTCATATATCTCACTTCTAGACAAACTTTTGATTCAATACATATTTACTTACCATGTATCTTTTTTTTTTCTCTTCCAGTTACTATTTCTTCAACTGCAGAAAAAGGTAATATTTTTTAATTTTTCAGAAGATGTGAGTAGGTTTAAGTGACATAGATTTTAAATGTACTCCTTTATGTGTAAGCTCTGTGCAGTGAGTAGATTAGTGCTAAGAAACAAGGTAAATATTGTGAGGCTGAGTCTGTTTGGTTTCTAGTACCACAAGCTTGGGATGATTACAAGACCTGTGAGTAAGGTTTGCAAATATTTTTAAATGGGTACCTTCTAAGAACAGGAAAAGGAGAAGAGAGATGGAACTGCAGCAGATCCACAAGTCCATTTTTTGTTTATTCCTGAACACACCCAGTGACCTGAAAGAATTCTGGAAGAGGAAGAATTGTTGTTCTGCTTGCTGTTTTCCAAACAACTTAGCAAATTCCTTGGAACTCCATTCTTTATGGCTGGTTAGAATGATGCAAAACACAACCATTTCAAAGGTGGCTGCACATTATAATTTTAAATTTTCAGATCAAGTGGTTAAGGCCTTGTTTTGACAAACTTTACTTAAGTCTTCATATTGGCTTTGGCAACTATATGCCACAGTGGGTAGCACTTAGAGATATAAACTGACCAAACAAATCCAGTATTCTTTCTCTGCCACTTCTTTTAACTGTGAACAAAAACTAGTCTAAAGGATGACTCAATTCCAGAAGTTCAAAATACAGGAGTTTTTTGTACTTTTTTTCTGTAGAAATACAAATGATTGATGAGATATGTGTTTGGGAGTTCATTTCAGCTTATGAGGGGACATGAGTGGTAGATTAAACATAGATTTGCAATTTGACCATCCACAGAGCGCTGTCTTCAGAGTGTGAGACCACTGGTAGGAGGTTCTCATCTCTTATATATTTTTGCAAAAGAGTATAGAATTTGGAGCTGTCTTGGTGTCAGGACCACCACCACCACGTGGTCGCAACACCGCCTCCCCCCCCCCACTCCTCTCCCGGTAAGATGGGGGCAAATAAGAAAAAAGTGGAACCTCCTGAGTTGAGATAACGACAGATTTTTAATAATACCACACGAGGAAAGCAAAAGAAAGAAGAATATAACAATAAGACAAGATATAGAGTACAATGGAAACACTGATACAATGAAAATCTCACCACCACGAGCTTCACAAAAGAGCCCCCTCTCCCGGCTAGCTTCCCCTTATATCCCGGGCATGACGTCAGCATGGTATCGAATATCCGGCTATGCCCAACTCCCAGCTTCTGTGAAGAATTAACCCTATCCCAGCTGGACCCAGGACAGGAGCTTATCTAGCAGTTTTCTTCCTGGTGGGGAACGTCCAGGAGAACACTGTGAAAGGAAGGAACCTTGATGGAATCTGTCCTCTTTCAGCTTCTAATGAAGGTGTGGAAGAGTGGGAAAACCTCCTAAATAAACTGTAAGCCATTCAGGATAGGGGCTGTGTCTTACCCTGGATTTTTTTCATCGCATTGCACAGCTGGCCTTCACCTAGACTTCACAAAATTCTGCAGATTGCTGCTGTGCTGTGCTGCTGTGTTGATCTGTATATGAGTAAGTTTTATCTTCTAGTTTCTTCCAGAAAGGCAAGATCCGTGTCTCGGTTAGGGAAGCCTGGCAGTACAACGATGTTGGTGTTGCATAGTCAGATCTCTGGCTTCAATACAAATGCGGGGCCTGTCTGATTGAAGCAGGTGCTCTTAAATCTACCTGAGAAGAAAAATGCTTGATTAATTAGTGAGACTGACAGTATATTTGAAACCTGACTTGTTAGGCTTTTAATAGCTGTCACCTGCATGCTTTTTGCACCTTCAATTCTAAAGAATTAAAGGCACCTTTAAAGATCATCTAGTTCCAACCCCCCTGCCATGGGCAGGGACATCTCCCGCCACACCGTGTTGCTCAAACCCTCATCCAGCCTGGCCTTGAACACCTCCAGGGATGGGGCATCCACAGCTTCCCTGGGCAACCTGTGCCAGTGCCTCACCACCCTCAGAATGAAGAAGTTGAATAGAAGGAGAGAGGGAAGGAGATACAGGGGAGGGCAGGGCACAGCAAAACTAACTTACACAGTAAGTTAGTCAATTAGTAAGTAAGTTAATTCTCTGAAGAAGGTTCAAATACCGTTTGGGTTTTTTACTGCAACAAGCAGTGAAGATCCCAAAAGATGATACATTAAGACCACATCTTCTGTGACTGTGCACATACATTTTCTGAACTGCTGGAAGTTCTCAAAGTTTTGAGCCTGTTCTGCCATCATGAAGTATGTCATACAATGACTTAAAGTACTCTCTTTATGTGCCTAGGAAAGTAGGTCAAGTTTCCTGCTTCCTATAAGTGACAATAATGTAAATATTTAGTATGACTTCTTTTCTAAGGCTTGCTGTTGAGGCACAACTGATCTGTTTCCTCTTGACAAGTGGTAAAAGAAACTGCTAGAGGAAACAAGATTGGAAGAAGCTTCCTGGGTCGTGAGGTTTGGGTCTCTGGTCTTTAAGGCGACCATAACACACAGACTCCTTCATAAATTGAGCTCCCTACTAAAGCCACCTACATTTTGTTGCCACTGTGACTATAATAGCAGGACTCTTCCATATCCTGTTCCTCTGATTTGAAAGAGGATAGCCAGACAATTTTTAACTGACAGACAGTTCTCGTCTCCAACTGCAGTCCTCTGCAAGCCTCTGGTTTGGAGTTTTTACTGTCACTGATGGCACATGCCTTCTACAATGGCACAGTGCTGTGCTGTTTCTGTTAGAAGTAGAAATTAAATTTAATTCTGTAGGTCTGTTATCAAATATTTTACTATAATCTGGAATGGAATTGTAGCATCTTCTTTATCCAAAAAAAAAGGTTAGTCACATGCCACAGGTGAAGCTGTGTTCAGTTCTGGGTTTTTTGTTTTGTTTCATTTTTTTCCCTCTTCAAAGTCTGTTTTGGAATTGCACATAAATGCATATTATTTCCTTGAGGAATAGCAACCATCACATTTGGTGATTTTTTTTTTTTCCTAGTCTTTTTTAAGTGAGCACTCCTGGAGTGCTACGTCTGCCCAGGGAAAAAGGTTTAATATAACTTGATTTTATGAGGTGATTCATAGTGTAGTAGTTTAGCCCTCATCAAAGACTAGGGATTTTATTTCTTTTCGGCTATATTCACCAAACTCTTATTTGTATTTTATTGCAGTTGTCTACCTTGTGGTTTTTCATCTGTCATTTGTCATGTTTGTATGGTCCTATTGGAAGACAATTTTCACATCTCCTGCATCCCCCTCTAAGGAGGTAAATATAATGTCAGAAAAATATCAATGCTTTTTTTATAAATAGCTGAACTGTGTTCAGTGATGAAACTTGTTCGCAGTACTGCATGATTCACCTTTCACTTCTCGTTATCTAAAATAGAACAGCATGACAGTGTATCATGAATGAAAATTATGAAATTACTCTTAAAATACTGTATACTGCATAATGACATTTCCTTATACGAAATATGCATTTAATTCATCACAGATTTGATAGTCATGTACACTGCTTTGCTATGAAGTAGCTTGCTTGAAATCTGGAATTTTTAAAACTGGTAAATACAGTGACAACATTTTTATATTGCCATTTTAGCCAGTTTTGACCTTTGTTTGGGTAAGAAAAAGTAGTAGCGCAATGTATACTCTAACCTGGAGGGCTGAAAGCACTTACTATTGAGTCAGGGGTTAAGGTTTAGTGATAATTGAGAAGTAAATATATACAGGAGCTTTACATAATGGCAAAAGAATGCATGATGACTGTAAGTTTTGTTTTGAAAAAGAACAGTATTAGTTGCAATAAGCCTGAGATGGTTTACCTTGTTTTCTGTTTTCTCTGAGATGTATGTATGTACGTAAGGATTAAATACTGGCACCAGATTTAAAATATTTCCCTTCCCTTCCTTGGTTTTATAAAGCTTTTCAATTGTCTGAACTGTTTGAGGTTTTTGGTTGGCCTATGGGGGTTGAATTTTTATTCTATTTTTGGCAAGACTGACTTTCAGTGCTAATGTCAACCTTAAACATTTTTGAAAAGAGTTAAAACCATGCTTCTAAGGAAAAGCAAACACTGCTCTGCAGTGCTTAATTATGGCTTAGATATATGTATTGTATAAAGCTACAGAATATAAAGTGAAAAAAGCTAAAGACTATTCTGGTGTTTAGCTAAGCAAAAAGAGGAGTACTGAATTGTTGAACCTAAGAATTAAAAGGGATTTTTATTCAGGGTGGTTTGTTTCAGCTTTATGTGGGATGGTGCTGCAGAAAAATGATGAAGTTAAGCAAGTTAGCTAAATAAAATGGGTTGGAACAGTGTTACTCCAGGTTTTGTAAAGCTGTATGAACTAGAGCTAACGCCTAGTAACTTCTGCTGTCTGCTTGGATTCTTCAATAATAGAAAACTTATGACTACTTATCCTGTAGTAATGTTGTAGCAAGCTTTTCATATTCAGTGAGTGAAAGGGATGGTTTGGACATCTGGCATGTAATTAATATTTTCTGTATCAAGCATGGGAGTAGATCAGATTTAATACAATTTTATTTTACAGTTAGCTTTAAAAAGAAAAAAAATACACAAAAAACCACCAACAAAAAACAAAATGCCAAAAACCCCACAAAAATGAACCAAGCAAAAAAAAAATCACCACCACCACTTTTTCCTCTCTCTGGGCAAGTCCTTTCTTCTCATGTACCAGTGAGTAATTTATGCTGGTTTTACTTAAAAACAAAACCTGACTTCAGAATCTCTCCATTGTATGAGAACGTAAACGTATGTATTTTAGTCATTCAAATTAGCCATTCTTGCAAAACAAATAGCATCCTGTGATCTTACTATTGAACTAAAAAAAGATTCTGCAGCTGCTGTTGTCTTAGTGTAATCCCTGTACTTTGTCATAAGCAAGAACAATCAACATTATACAAGATCCAGAAAGAGGAAGGAAACAAAGGGACTCTTTCTGTTTTCAATAAGAACTGCTGGAACCTCATTGGGAATTGTGTTAGCTATGTGGTAACAGACCACTTTTGATGTCTTTGGATGTATCCTGCCATTGTCTGAAGAGACTCTGGTCTCATGGCCCTATTAATTTCTGAAATTAGAACAGGAATATAGCTCTTTGGAAAAAAAAAATCCCATGCAGAATTTTTGGAGTAATATTAGATGTTACTTGGACAAATTTAAAAAGTTTTAAATCTTGTGATTTATTTCCTTTTCTGTGCATTAATGGTTTGCCATAGAAATGTCATCTAGGAGTAGTATTTCATGTTTAATGCCATCTCTGCTTGATTGCAGGTCATGGAGACAGGCATTTGGTCACCTAGCAGACACAAGGGCAATGGGGAGGAAGGCACATTGCACCACTGTTTGCTGGCATGATGCTTCATCTCTGTCTTAAACTTTTGATGTGAGCATCTCCAGTTTTCATATTTGAGTAAATATCTAGCTTAGAGATGGATATTAAAAAATACGGTCAAACTCTTGGTGACGACTGAAACGTTAAACTTTAGTTTTACTCTTTGCATAAATTGATCCTAGTTTCTGAGTATTTAAAGGGGGATTATGTTTCATGTTTCACCCTTGAATGGCAGGCAGGCTCCATAACTGGGATGATACTGTATGTAACAGGAGACTTAACTAGATTCTGTGAGATACAAGGCAATTTATTTGCATTCTGTGTTAGGAAATAAAGTAGTGAAATCGCAGCATTGTCTTACTGCTTCCTCCTTTCTGCGCGTGGAGTCTTCATTGTTGCTTGCCAACTGACTGTAATCCAAAAGAGGAAGTACAGGATGAGAGGAAAATCCATGTGAATTAATCATATGTATGTTCCTGCTAGGAAAATATGGTCATATTAAACCACACTATGTCAATTTTTGTTCCAGTTGCACACACAGCATTTTCCACTCACTACTATGAATACTTTGTCTATGTGTGCTCATAAAAAGGCTCTTGTAGTCTATGCAAGAAGCTCAGAGTTTAAAAGTGCTTCGCAACAGAAAAATACCAAAGGAAACTGAGTTCAGCCCAACTCCGCAGGGGCTTGTCAGCACACTGGGTTTTGTGGGGCTTATTGATAAAGCTGATAATTTCAGTGGATACCAAACAGCGTGTTTCACAAGTGTGTAAAAGCTCTCCAGGTTATTTTGGTAAAGCTTTACATTTCAGTGAGGCTTCAACAAGAATGCTCCTCACACTTTACTCAGAATTGCTGAAGTTGCTTTTAGTAAAGAGCTTATGGATTTTGAGACTAGTGCTGACTACTCCCATGTAAAAATTCCAGTTAAACTCATCTGCTGTGCTACAGCCATGAAGCCCCCCCAGTCTCCTTTTCGCCCCCCTCCTCTGGCTTGTGCCCCTCTCTGAGTCAGAGAGAGGAAGTGGGATAAGAGAATTTCAGTGCCTTGTAGCAGCAAAGGACTGTTGCACCTTCCTCTTGTTCACAGATCACTTAAATTTATGGGAATTAAAGGAAAGGTTGCGTCTCTTAAAACTCCCCTGGGTCTCTGGCTTGCTTTGTGTTGAAGGGAAAATGCAATAGATAATGCAACAAAGATTTTTTTTGTAAAATATGCCCAGGATCATCATGGAATTTTGAGGATGTCCTGTAATTCCTGTAGCATTCTTTATGTGGGTTTTTTGGATCGGTCTGGGGGGTGGGGGGTGGTGTCCAAAGATATAGGATTAAGATACATAGGGTCTTTTCCTTGGAGCTTGACTAGAACACAAATAATAACTAATCTCTTCCCTTAATTCCATTTTTTCCCTCCTTCCTAGTTCTGCTTGTCAAAAGCTGATAAAGAACAATATGAAAAAGAAGAGAGACCAGAGTCTCAGCAGGAGATTTTAAGAAGAGCTGCTAAAGACTTGCCTATCTATACGACAACAGCATCGAAAGGTGAGATGTAAAAATAAATCTGTGCTTCTGGAGCTGCTTCATTTGATGTCACTGAATGAACAATTAAGCACATATTGCAAAGGCCATGACCTGGCTTTGTTATTTGTTTCACCCCCCCTCCCCCCCCCCCCCCCCCCAAGAGAAACTGGAGTCCTTTGTCTGGGGATCAACATGTAGCCAGTGTTTGGCATTAAAAAAAAAAAATCCTCTTCTAGCAAGCAGACAGATGACAATATTTATTTCTAATGGTGGCTATAAAAAATAAACACAGCAAAGAATACAGGTAATATAACTAGAAATAGAGAAAATTCAACTTTTTACCCATTTTTTTAATCATTCATATCCCCCTTTAAACTTCTTTTTCTGAGCTGTATCAGT